GCGTTTGGCGCGAACAACGTGCTTGCGCAGCGATAGTAGAAACTAACTAACGAGCGTCACTACGACTCAATTTAAAATGGCCGTCGGTTTTCTGAATTACACCCAATCTGACGCCAAGTGATCAAATGGTGCAAGTTCGCTCCTAAGAGCAATAATTTTTTGCCGTTCTCATCTGCGTTAAGTAAAATACCCTTTTATTATTATTATTTATTGATTTCACCATGATATTATTACCTTTTTTGATAGCTGATTAAGTGGGCATATTTTTTAAAATATTTTTATATTTCATGTGAACAACACAACAATACAAACACTCAAGCCTGTCCCAGACTTGTCTATGCCCATCAACATAAAGACCCTATCCGAGGCTGAAACATGCCGATACCTGGGAATGTCACAGAACATAGGTATCGATGAGGTGGATATGAGGCAGTCAGTTTGCGATGTGTTTTATGCACGCTTGACAAAAGTGCTTAACAGTCTTTTGTCATGCGTGAATAAGACACACGCATATAACGGTTGGATCATGCCTGTTCTCATGTATACATTTGGCATACTCAGGTGGACTCAGACCGAACTAAACGCTCTGGATAGAAAAGTCCGCGCACTATTATGTCGTCCCACAGAATGCATCATCTGAAATCGTCAGTAATGAGGCTGTACGTGCCGCGGAAACATGGTGGGCGCGATTTTTAAGCGCGCTTACCATGCATAATCGCGAAGTGTGCAGCCTCCGTAATTACTTTCTGACGAGAGCGGATGATCCATTCTATAGAGACGTTCTTTTTTGTGATAAAGGACTTACCCTTCTATCCTTAGCCAACGAGCAATGGTAAGACCCGGCAGTATAGAGCATTTCCGACCGGGAGACCGGATGGAAGGAGAAGGAGCTCCACGGGAGGTTCTACAAGGCTCTACATGAGCCTTTCGTAAACATAGTTGCCTCCCTCCACTGGCTACGTTTTGGTGACCTCTTTGGGGAAACCGAGGGTTTTGTCTGTGCAATACAGGATCAGGTTATTAAGACCAACAACTATCAGAGATACATCCTAAGGGATGGCACCGCCAACATTTGTCGAGCTTGTCGCCATCCCGGTGAATCACTTAGGCATGTCATCTCCGGTTGTTCAGCGCTTTCTAACTCTGAGTACTTGCATAGGCGCAACCTAGTAGCCAGGATTCTACACCAGGAGCTCGCTCTGAAATACGGTCTCGTGGATCGGAAACTCCTTATTACATGCCGGAAGCCGTGCTCGAAAATGACCGCGCCAGGCTCTACTGGGACCGGGCCATCATCACAGATAGGACCATTCTTGCGAATAAGCCAGATATTGTGCTGATGGACCGGGCACAGTCAAGGATATTTTTAATCGATATTACCATTCCGTATGATGAGAACTTCGTGAAAGGTGAAACAGATAAGCGAACAAAATATCTGGACCTGGCTCACGAGGTGACCGACATGAGGGGTGGACTGCCGACCGAAATTATACCTGTAGTCGTTTCTGCGAACGGGTTAATCCCAGTCAGCCACTCGGGTCATCTGAGGCGACTGGGACTCCGTGACGGACCGCTCCAAGCTCAAATGCAGGAGGCGGTGCTCCTCGATACCACCCGCATCGTCCGCCGGTTTCTTTCCCTTTCCCCCTAACACTCGGCCGTTTGGTTTCCCCTGCCGAGGGCTTCCGTCTGGTTGGGTTTTTATTTATTTATGTATTTATTTTAATTTGTTGATATTTAAGTATGTTTATCGTTTTCATTTACAATTTTATATTTATACAGCCGAACCAGATGAGAAAACTATACAGATACACATAATAATATATTCATACAGCCCGACCAGATGAGAAAACTATATAAATATCCCACATAATAACAACTTTATTTCATGCATCAAGTACTTAAAAATTAACAACATTGGCCCATAGCAATACTCGTATATACACACATACCTTAATCCAAAATATATATAAAACATAAACATAACACTATTTAGGGAACTTTCTTATTTGGCGCATCCCTGTTTCGGCGAAACACTACCCCGGATAGCCAGAAATCGGGAGCGAGGAATGTCTCTTTGTATTCTGCAGGAACCTGGAGTACGTAAGATTTAAGGTTGCTTTGACCTATTAGACTTCAGGCACTCACGCTGCAAATGTAAAAAGATCGGATCCTCTATGGAGCATCGGTTTCGTTATTCCAAGAAACGCAAGACGGGAAATGTAGAGCTGTATGGTGGGCTCCGCAACACGCAGAGTTGTACTTGCGTTTATTTTGGCGATCCCGTGCTGGTTACAGACGGGTCTCGACCGACGTCTCATCTCATTAAGAAAACTGCAGATCTGTGGGGAATATCCGTTAAAGTTATTGCGTCTATAATAGATACAATCGTGCCTCATCTAGCGATTATTTTTAATACTAGTATCGAATGTGGTGTTTCCTGATTTAATAAAGCATAGTAAAGTAATACCTTTATTTAAATCTGGTAGTACATTATTAGACTCCGCCAATTTTAGTCTTATTTCTGTACTACCAACACTTAGTAAGATTTTTGAAAAAAAATTATTCTTGATCAAATGTTAAATTTCTATAATATAAATAATTTACTTCATAAAAATCAATTTGGCTTCACAAGGGGTCGCTCGAAATCCGATGCCGGTGTTGAGCTGATTAAATATATCTTTAATGCATGGGAGAATTCACAGGATGCTTTGGGTATATTTTGTGACCTATCCAAGGCCTTCGATTGTGTTCACCATGAAACATTAATCAGGAAACTTTAACACTACGGTGTAAGAAGTGATGCTCTTAAATTAATTATTTCATATTTAAGTAAGAGAATGCAAATGGGCGTGCCTCAAGGCTCAATTCTCGGCCCCTTTTTGTTTGTTGTATACATTAATGACTTACCTTACATAGTAGGGGATAACCATGATATAGTATTATTTGCAGATGATACGTCTTTGATTTTCAAATTAAGTCGACAATTATTAAAATATGACGAAGTAAATAATGCTATATCTAAATTAGTAAATTGGTTCAATGTTAATAATTTGCATTTAAATGGCACCAAAACGAAATGTATGAAATTCATGACTCCAAAAGTCAAACAATTAAATACTAGTGTTATTTTAAATGGGGAGAAACTGAGTCTTGTAGATACCACCATTTTTCTATCACACTAGACGCAAGCTTCAATGGAGCCCCCATATATCAAAACTAGCAAGCAGACTTAGTTCTGCAACATATGCTTCTTAATCTTTGTAATTTTACCAGTGTTATCAGTGTTGAAACAGCTGGACTTGTTTACTTTAGCTATTTCCATAGCATAATGTCGTATGATATTTTGCTATGGGGACACGCGGCTGACACTGAAATTATATTTGTTTTACAGAAGAGATCCATAAGTTCAATTTATGATTTGAAGCCTTATATATTTACTTTGGCCTCTCAATACATTTGTGAAAATTTAATGTACGTACACAAAAATAAAAGTAGTTTTACAAAAATAAGTAATATTTATTCTGTAAATAATAGGAACAAAATAATAAAATATACAAAATTTGACCTACTCAAAGTTCAAATAAAAAGGATTAATATAATATTAAGGAATTTATGGATGATAATAACCCCTGGGAATGAGGTGATCGTTTCCAAGCTATTTCTAATTTGTTGTGTTGTTAATTGTATAACATACATGATTGTAAGCTATTAATTAAAAAAAAGTCCCGCTGGGTTTCTTGGTGTTTCTTCCCAGGACAGAGGTTTTTTCGAACCAGTGGTAATTAAACAAAATAGTGACTTTCAATAAGTATTATTTATAATCTATATTGAATAAAAAAGTTTCTGTTTCTGTTTCTCAACAAGAGCAAATCCGTCATTATCGTTTCCTTCCACCTTGTTTCGGGTTACCACATGAATTGATTTTATGCCCACATTCTTTCGTTTCCGACCGCAAGAGGGTGCCGGACGTGAAGATTTTCGGGCAACATCCGCAAACGTCTTCCCTTGTAAGGTTGGCTTCGACGGAGCCAACCTTACATTAGCAATTAAGTTGCGCAACATAGTGACTTCTTTACTCGGCTCTATTGCGGTTCGTTCCGATTCTTGAAATTTTAAACGGATGACGGTGACTTCGGCTTTCAATGTGGTGACGTCTTGCAACAATCTGGTCACGTCTACGTGATCGAACGTAACAGGAGACAGCTTTTTGAGATCACGCGCGATGAAAGTTGGAATATCATCAGGGTTGGTCTCTTTAAACAGCCTGAAGTTGTCTTGCAGATCTTTCTAACCACGTCCATCCCTGAGACGTATGATAAGACGGATTTTGGTCACGGCTGAGTCTGCTAACACCTTCTTCGCTTAGATAGTAAAGCTAATCATCAGTATCTGCTCCAGAGACACCTGGTCCATGACGTTCAATTTTAGTTGAACATAGGCAAGGAACTCGTGGACTACGACGGTATCGGAGCGTTTAGGTTGGTACGCCATTTCGAATTATTTTCGTGCAGTAGGTATACTTACGCTACGAAAATATTGTAGGTTTGGCATTAGAGACGCCGCATCGTTATAAAGCGACTGCATCGACCGGCAGTAGAATCGCGACCCTAGATTATTATATATGTATTAGAGAATCGCGGCTGATACATTAAAAGCGTAACGTACAGCGGCCAATCAAAAAATTGTTAAAGATAAGACTTACGGAAGTAAGACATCGTTTGTTCAAATCTGCAATTTAACTACTATCATAAATCACTTTTATCTCAAGCATTTTTAATGTTTTAGGAGTAATTACGGGACTGCTGTTAATATCATTGCCAATATATATTTTTATTACAAAAATACTGATGGCACACATACTGAGGTTCCATTATTTCTCTTGTGCATTTGATGGCTTCCAACACAATTTCGACGCTGTCACCATGGTCAAAATTTCATCAAAATTAAATATCCTATACAATGGATATACAGTGTAATAAACATCTCATGTATTTCAGATAAATGGAAACACTGTATTCACGTATTTTCTAAAGAGGGCGAACACCTGAGGTCTATCGGACAGAAAGGTAGTCGCGACGGTATGTTCAGATCACCAGAGGGAATAGCAACTGACAGTTCGCAACAACTGATCTACGTAGTTGACACTGGTAACGATCGAGTACAGGTAAATATTTGTTTTTATTTCATACTGGCTATACCCGACCACGTGTTAGGGCCACCACATACATTTGGATTTTCCTTTCGAAAAACCGTTTCTGTATAACAAGGCTCAGTTAAGAGACGCTAGCCGCTAGCTAGACATTTTGCAAGCGAATATGGACTACGATTTTCTGATTTTGCGATTGCATTGTTGGTATCTCATTGTTACTGAGTTCATCCCCTTGACACCCTAAGATTTCAAGTCATTTCATTTCAGTCTTCCGTAGATTTTGTATGAGTCGCATCACACATACGTTAATTGCATACGGAAAGCACCAAGTGTGCATCGCATGACCGAAGCGAGTAGGTGTATTTATGTAGGTATGTTTGTATATTTATCTCTTTTCCTAACCTTTCCTCTTATTTTGTTTAATAATTCGTAGAGAATATATATGTATTCAAAAAATCTCTAGGCTCATAAATTGGCTCTTTTTACATAATATTGACTATCTTGAAATCTTAGGGTGTCAAGGGGATGAACCCAGTAACAATGATACAGCAACAATGCAATCGCAATCAGAAAATCGTAGTCCATATTCGCTTGCAAAATGTCTGAACTCAATGCCTAGCGTCTCCCAACTAAGCCTTGTTATTCCGAAGGGAAATAAACGTATGTGTGTGGTGTATTTACGGAATCTCGAATCGATACTCCGAAGCGGCTTTTCGAAATGGAATTCCGAATATGTGGCAGGCCTTAATGTGGCTGTTTTTTCAAAAACGCACGTCTTCGAATTCGAATGCAACGTTTTGTAAAAATTTTAAAGCAAATGGAGTGAAGAACTTTTAAAGATTTAAGATTTCGACCAAAGAAATATTTATATATTAAAAAGTTTCAAAGCCCATATAACAAGTTTTTGTAACGTATGATTAACAAATATGTTAACTTTATGCTAACTTTGGTTATCGACAAGTTTTTATGGAATTTCACTAGCGCCAGTGTGCGTATTTGGAACTAACCAATGAATAACACAAACTTATCAATCACCTTCGTATCGTAAGCAAGAAGTATCTAATAGCAAGATAAGAATAAGTTAAATATAGAAACGTTTTCGCATGAACTCGTGTTTGGATCTCAGTTCAATCCTTTATGTAACCGTTTGCTCGGCGGCAAAAGAAATTTTCTAAGACACAGAAGTAGTCACATAGATCAGAAATAGGTTAGGACAGGTAAAAACGTCTATTTTGCACGTATACTATACTATACTTATAGGTATAGTTTACTGAATATTAACTCATAGACCGTGTAGTGGTGATGTAAGAATATCCACTACCCCATATCGTCCCGTGGGTGTTGTAAGAGGCGACAGAGGGAAACAAATCAGGTGGTGGGCAGCAGCATCTTCCTGATAACAACTAAAAAATAAAAAAACTGCGGTTGCAAACCCGGCTACCAAGCGTGGCATCTATGGTATGTATCCCCTCTTTGAGACTACATACGGAAGGCCTATGTTCAGCAGTGGACTTTTGATAGGCCGTAACGGTATAGGCTACGTAGAAAGCCCATGTTCCCATGTTCATGTCCCCAAACAAAAAGTAACTCACCATCAATTGCACTTGCAAAACGCGTAAACATTGTGTTACACAACCAGTTACGTACCAGGTTTATAAAATAGTGTGAACTGTGAAACCATCTGTGACGGAACATCCTACCGACTGATAGGACACGCATTTAAGAATTTGTAAAAACATTCTTTGTAGCAGTATTTATTCGCAACGCTGTACCAATCATCTACATCTATCATTAATTTAGAATAAAATACAGGTTTTGGCACTATAATCAAAAGCAATCGCAAGCTGTCACAAGAGCGTGCGATATTTTTACATGGTAGAGCCACGCTCCCAAGCTTAAATTAATAATAGGTCCGCGCGATGACCTATTATTAATCTAAGCTCCCAAGTATAATGTCCGCAACACGAATGGACCGACACGACCGAAATAATTTAAAATTAAAAATTTTGTACAGCCGACTTCAATATAAGTTATTAAGAATAACTCAAAAACTATTGGTCTGACCTTGATCAAATTCCTATGGGACCACAAGAGAAGTATCAGCTTTCAAATAATAATAGAATCATCCAAATAGGTTCACCCAGTAAAAAGTTACGAGGTAACACACATTAAAAAAAAACATACAGTCAAATTGAGTACCGTCTCCTTTTTGGAAGTCGGCAAAAAGGATCACCAACCCTAAGCCAGATAGATGACCAATGTTAAAATGTATTATAATGTCAGTGTTAGGCATGGTGAGTGTAAAGAATAGGAGACCCTCCTTATAGGTGTACTTAATCTTAAACCTCAGGGGTAACATCTTGATTTTTATTCTTTGTAGAAAATTAATGTGAGTATCTATAAGCCACAGTATCCACATATCATCAGGTGGACTGTGTGCTCATTTGTCTTCTATAAAAAACAACTTCAGTTGGCCAACGTTACAACAACATAATGGACAGGCTACAAACCAACTTGCAAACTTTCACTCCTTTTACATTATGTTGGCATTCAGTACATTGGAAAGTTAAGTGAGGGATGTTGCCGAATTTTGACCGCAGTGACCTTTTTAGATTACGAGCGTAATCACTCCTTACGTAAAATGGACCTATTGCGATAATTTTCCGTCTTTAATTTGAACCTAGAAACAGACCTGGCTCACGCCGCTTTTTTTTGCGCCCAGAAGCAATTGAAAAGGGCTACCCCGTTAACGCGAGGAGGTGGTGAATGCTTTATGCATACCACGACAGCCGGTCTGTCGTGGTTATGTGGGACTCACCGTGTCTAACTATCCTAACCACCCTACGTGATACCCACTAAACACCGCCTATGGGGGATGGGCAATGGCCTTCTTTGAGGCCTTTCTGCCGAATCGGAAGCGACCCTCTTTTGGGAAAAGAGGGCGCAGTCTCAGTCTTAGTAGGCATGTAAATATACCTACGCTGCCCCTACAAGGGGCTAATTTCGTGAAGATGTTACGCGTGAGCTCGAACAGACGCGCGCCTTGCGTTAACAAAAAAATATGGTTCTCTTTTATGTCACTTTTGATATTTATTTTTAAGTTTTTATTCAAGTAAGGCCTCTCAAAAAGCCAAAAGGTACTACGCACAGCATGCCGGCGCTTCAATAACAATGTCGGCTTTTCATTCTTTTTTTCTGTTGCTAAGGATACCGAAAGGTATGATATTATTATTTATAGGTAGATCTTAGATAATTAGGTACCTACTTACTGACGCCATAGTTAGATTTATTATTTGACTAGCGACCCGATCACAGCTTCGCATTTTTCCATATTTTCGCGTATAATGACCAATGACCTTAAAAATAGTATGGTTCAGTGTAAGTAGACCTCCACACTGGTGCCTACTAATCAGTGGAGTAGCGTGCCTTAGAGCGGACCTGTATCAAAATTTGTCGGGGGGCCCAAATGAAGATTTTTCACAAAAGTAACAAAAACTCTCGGATTGAATTAAAATAATTATATATTGATTATAAGTTATTACTTACAATTAATACTCCTAGGAACTAAGCTAGCCAAACAGTTCAAACCAAAATCCTGTCCCATAGAAGTCCTTAGAATTTTTGCTTACATACGTTCGGGGCCTCTGTATCCCGGGGGCCCCGTATCATAGATACGGCTGATACGGTGGTAGCTACGCCCCTGCTACTAATGCAAGATCAGCATAATATACTGACTATGAGTTTTATACTTGATCGATAAAGGAGATTGAAAATATCAGTACTTCTCATTGCCACACTCATTAATAATGTTGCATGTTTGTAAATAGCAAAAACTGTGAATCAGACAAGTGACGGCTCCGCGCCGCAGTGGCTAAACAATGAATTGTAGCGCTAAAAGCCGCGGGTTCGAATCCCGCACGGAACAAGTATGACATACAAATAATTGGTCTGGGTCTGTTGTATGTATGTAAACTGCCCCCGCGATACAGGTGAAAATCCTAGTGTGGAGGTAACGTTTTTTAAAAAGATAGGAAGAGAAACATGTAATATTAAAAATTTTGTACAACCGACTTCAATATTAATATCCATTATTAAGGATAACTCCAAAACTACTGGTCAAATCTTGATCAAATTTGTACGAGATATATAAATTATAAGCACCAGCTTTCAAATAAAAAAGAATGATCAAAATCGGTTTACCTAGAAAAAAGTTCTAAGGTAACACACATAAAAAAATACAGTCGAATTGAGTACCTCCTCCTTCTTTTGAAGTCGGTTAAAAATTGTAAGTTGGTAAATTATATGAGTTCCAAAGACGTTCACGTTGTTATAATCTTAATTTTTCTCGATGTTGCATATCAACCTTCCTCACATTGAACAGTAATGTTCTTATTATCAGCAAATTATTAATACGTTGATAATACGTTGCACCTCGGTGTATTCTATTACCAATTAATATCAAGGGATTAAATTTGTTTTCTCACAACACCTAAACCTACAGTAGGAGCGGCCTTAACAATGACGCATAACTAGAAGTTATACACACCCTCGCACGCGGGCATAACGTTTGATACGCGCGCCGCATTAATTTCTTTTTTCGACAATTTAATCGGTAGGCTATTTTAACGAAGGTCGTATGCGAGGCGTGCAAAGTATTATAAATATTAGCGACTTTGTAACTGGGTTTAAACTCGCAAGTTTGCTATTATTTATTCTGTGCTAAAACACAGTAGTGTAAAGGCGTTTTCTATTCATCTACTCGTAAGCAGTCTATAACTGTAGCTGGGTTTGTTTGCTGCTGGGTGTTTTAGCAATCCTTGTGACAGACGTTATGCACATTTTTACTATGCTACTCGTCGCCGAACTGGATTTTTTAAAATTGTTATATACAAGATGGTTATTTATAGGCAAAAATACGTCACCATTCCTCGCATTTGCCATAGTCGACCTAAAAGTGAACGATGATAAAGAATTATAATATATTATTTTTTCTCCTCAGATTCTACAACCTGATGGAAAGTTTGTAGATCGAATAGGTGTTGCGACAAGGCAACAATCTATGCACACGGCCAGCGTTTGGGATACAAAAGAAATATTGTGCACAGAACTAAACGCACCGACTGACGTCGCCGTCACGAACGATCGAGTGATCGTGCTAGATAGTGGAAACCGACGAGTGAAAGTTTATAATAAGCAAGACAAGAACAAAGTTTTAGAATTTGGGTCCTTAGGGCACAGGAAAGGCCAGTTCAGGCAACCTGAAGTCTTAGCAGTTGATCCTATGGGCTTTATTCTCGTTGGCGATTCAGGCAATTGTAGAGTACAAGTGTTCAAACCGAATGGACATTTGGTGAGGGTGTTCGGAAGGCTGGGAACAGAACCAGGAAAATTCGGATGGATATCAGGGATATATGTCACTAAGCAGTTGGATATCATAGTCAGTGATACAAAAAATCATAGCGTTAATTTTTTTTAAATAAAACACCTTATAAGTCTACTGTTTTAATGTGGAAAAATATTAATTACGAAACAAATCCATCACTGGTTTTTATATAAAAAAAGACTTAGATTTTTTTTACAATAAACTTAACTTTAAGGCATTAATATCACAAGAAACAGATTCATTGGTAGTATTTGAAAGCATACTGATTTTAAAATAATGTTTAAAATTAATACTTGGATCGCAGTGTAATTTCGTGCTGGATAGTAAAAATTTTTTGAAATAAATAAATTACTATACTTACAATGACTATCATTGTAGTAAATAACTCTTTTTACAAAAGTAATAGAATACAAAGTTACAATGCTTTTCTAATTTAAATTAAAATGCGCGTCAATAAACATTACACATCGAACTTTAGAGAAAGGCTAACATCTATGTAGAGCGTTGTCTATGTCACACTAAATATTAACTATTGATTTAAAAACAAGTTCTCTGGCAATCAATAAAATACATTTTTATGAAATACAGATTTAAGTCTATTGGCCATATACTCATACGCTACTCAATTTTAAGATGCCGTTAAGTCTCGGGCTGTCTCTATCACTTTAAGTCAAAGTGACTGACGACACGAGACCAAATATTTAGCCATTAGTTATATACTTTGAGTGGATGTGACCAAACTCAAAACTTGTACTTACGAGATGTCAGCGACAAAACGACATAAGGACTGCGAATGAGAGTGACAACGCTCTATAAAATCTTAGCTAGCCGATTTTATTTAACTTTTAAGACTCGATGTGTAAATTATACGGCTGCGTACTTCAGTGTGTGCTTTTTGCTTTCATGAGATACTTTTTGTTATAACAAGCGCGGTCAGAACCAATACTCATATATCGTAACTCTATTACAAATATAATGATTATATATACAGCTATATCATGCATTTAACATATCTGACTATTGCTTTACTATTGTCAAATATTCTAATAAGCACTCGTCCATATAAATCGTACAAGATGGCAGTTTTATTAGAAATTGACAGTTTGCTATAAAACCATGGAGCAAATACAAAGAGGAGGCCTAAGAAACTGTGGCTTTGGTTAGTATTCTGTCAGCGTTCGTCCTGTGCGCTTATGTGTCGAAAATCACAAATCGGTGTATTTTCGTAGTATTAAGAAGAAAACGATGAAGTGTTGTGTTTTATCGTGTAAAAACTACTCACATAGACGCTCTGATGCTATAGATGGCATCACATTTCATTTGTAAGTAATTTTATACCTAATTTATAAAAATAGTTGTAGAAAAATCTCTGCGTCGGATTTAAAATATAATAAAATATATTCGACACCAGATGGCGACACTTTGTGTCATGGGAACTAAAAATATAAAGGTACGTAGAGCTCAGTATTGGTAAAATAATCATACGAAGGTGCTGAAATTTGTTTTGCATTCAGGCCTAGAGTTTTTAATCGCCAAAATATTATTTTTATAGTTTTTATAAAAATTTTGTGAACAGGCCGCTACATTGCTAAATCCTTATGGAACGATGCGCGTAGTTTTACTATTTACAGGTAGATGTGAAATAGTTAAGTGGGCGGGGCTTAACACCCCCTCACCCCGCAAATTGTCACGCGTTGTTACATTGTGAAATCTAATTACAATACCTCCTCTTTGTATTCGCTCCGTGTATAAATCTAAATTATTTCTTATTTTGTTATGCCCTGTACCATCTTTACCCTACGGGCAGCCAAGGCCCTGCCATAGGCCCCGGCAAAACATGTCCATAACTTTATTCATAATATAAATTAATTAATTTCAAAACACTTTTGTTAAGTGGTTATAAAGCTAACTATAATAACCGTTAGACATTAAATAAAAGTGCATTTAGAACATTTTCTTACTTTCTAAAAGGCCACTACACATTCAAGGCCCCAGAGGACCTGTATGCTTTAAGACGGTCCTGGTTATATATAATTGGCGTGACTTCAAAAGAGTTACGTAAATTAACAAAGTCATATTATACCTTCATCAATATTTATAAGAAAATGAGGTACGTGAGCGATATGAGGCTTACTGAGTCTTTATAGCGCGAATGTTACACGCGACAAGATATAGTCTAATGAAGCATTGGTCTTTGTACCTCATTTTTTACTACATTGGTACATACTCATGCGATTCGACATCGGTCTTCTTTAAAAACTTGAGCGTGACAAGTTGAGCGATATCAGTTATTTAAGTTGATTTTTGAAAATATACTGCTGAGTACCTACACATCTGCAGTTAACTGTAGTGGAATATTGATTAAGTAAAATAAATACACCAGTAAACATATTAATCCCATATTTATACATAAAAAAATTATCTATAAAATTCATATATGGCTTATGTCAGTTTCGATTTGGTGGTATTAACAAAATATTTACAATTATTTACAAAAACCGAGACTAAAGCATGTTTAAAAGTTAATGCTAATGAGAATTTATCTAATAAAAATTTTAATTAAAGCCATAACAGATCTAGTAAATATGTTTTTCATTTTATTCATCTAAACCATTTTTTAAATCTAAACCAAATTCTAAGTTAACGAGGTAGAATTAATGAATAAAGATATAATTGGGTTTGGAAAAAATAGTACCCAATATGAGGCACTTTAATATTGATTTAATTAATTTAAAAAATAACACATTGATCAAGTAGCACTCGGATAATTTCGATACAATATTATCGTTTCTTCATTATGCGGAAAATAGTTCAAATTTTCTTTTATTCACAATTTATATTACTATTATATTAAAATAAAGTTTAAAGGACTTAACTCGAAAGATTAGTAACCATACTACACCAAACAAGACGGAATTGCGAAAGTGCATTTTTCGTAATGCAAAAGAGGAATCAATTTGCCTTGTTTATGAAATACATATTTATATGTTTTACCCGCTTGAACGCATTGTGCGAACGTTTTAACAAAAAATTAACAAAAGTTATGAGAATTTTGGCAGGAACCTGGACCGCCGCGCCTGCGGATTGCTTCTCCTACAAAATCATTTGAATAGTGGTTTTAAGTGGAATTTCATTCTTAGAAGTGAAGTGAAGTTGTTTATTAAATGTCTGTGCATGTGGACTGTAATTAGAAATGTTTGTGATTGTTTTTATAAAACAGATTAAAACAGGTGCTACAACGGTGATATAAAAGAGATATTTTTCAGCTTAGCTGCCTTAAACATTTGGGATACTATCTTCATCGACAGTCTGCTGGCTTTCAAAAACACCACAATCTAACGCATTTTTTTAAGCAAATAATTATAAAGGAAATTTCCTAATATTTGACACTAGCTAATGTACACTGTCGTACGAGTACATAACAAAAAAAAACTTATTTTTTTAAATTTCATTTCTCACAATGCAATAATACCTGGCGTTGCCCGGGCGAGGTGCGAGCGGGTGGAAAAAATTACGGATATGTTTTTAGTTATAGTCATGGGTAACTATCTATTTTATTTGAGGATGAGGGAGTACCCCGTTTTACTTCGCGAGATACTCACAAGGTACCCCCTGATCCCCTTGCAGTCAGTTCCCCTTGCAAGGCGAGTCGCCTCCTCCTAAAAGTTTTTTGAAAGCTAGACATATTGTTACCACAGTCATTATATTTATGTATGTCTGTGGTTTTAAATAGTAGGCGCCATTAGTAGAAGCAAATAAAATTTGTGATCACTGGATGGCCCAGTGAACATAAAATTGGATGAAAGAAAAAGTGTGCATGATTTTATATTCACACGCAAAATATGAGATTTGATTGTTTCATATTACGTTATTCAAAAACAACTTTTGTTATTTAATAATATGTTTGGAACGAAGTTCTTTATCGGACGGTACGAATTTGGCGGATGGGGGCTAGGCGAGAAAAAGTGTAAGATTTTTCCGTCACGACCCCTTCTGACGTAGTGTAGACAGCCTTGGCGGCTATAAGGAAGCGAGATGGAATAATATCCATCTCCCTCGTACTTTTTCTTATCTTGCCATGAAAGAAATATTATTTTATTTTAAATGACGCTTCATTTTAATAGGCGCCAGTAATTCATTTATTTGTATTTGTTAATCAATAATATAAAATATTTATCAATAATAATATATTAGAAGCGTCAGTAGCCTAATGGCAGGGCGCGGACCGCGAACTCGAAAGGTCGTGTATTCGAATCCGCCATTCGACTATTGTCATGAACCACTTCTAATACAAGCAATTTTAAGCTTACCGGAAGTGGTGTAAGGGAATATTAGTAATGTTTAATAACATTACTAGTATTAAAAAAAATACTACGAACTTCGTTCCAACCGAGTGTTCTAAGACACTCACACATGTTTTTTTTTCTTTTATAATTCGTTAATAAAACTTTCTATAAGAAATAAGAACATTCTTAGTAAAAATTTCGTAACTTTCTCCACTAAACTATTTTAACAATCGGTAATTTATTGAGTATAGTTGTAGCACGAATGGGTCGGCTCGACCGGGGAAGGGCCACGCTCTCACAGAATACCAGCCTAAAATAGCAGCTTAACACTGCTGTGTTTCGTATAATGAGTGTAGAGAACCGTAGACCCTTTTTACTGGAAAAGGGGCATTCCATCTTAGTCCGCACGGGTGACAACGCATCTGCATTTTGATTCGCAAACGAGGATAAATGTAGATGTCTATGGGCCACAGCAACCACTTACCATCAGGTGGATTGTGTGCTCGTTTGTCACCCTATCCTATAAAAAAAGAGGTACCAAGCGCTATCCACTGCCACAATCGCAAAAAGAAACGCCGTGAATGGTTGTTAAATTCATTGAATAAGTGAATAGTTTTTTTAAATTCGTTGTTTTTCGTAACTCGTAAACGTGAGAACGTGCTTATGGCAACTTATGAACAACTAATAAAATAGTGATTTGAAATAAATAAGTGCACATTAAACTAACACACTGCACGAAAATAAAAGAAAAACGAATATAGCACATCACTGTGCATCACTTTTTCGAATAGGGCAATTGCTTTTAAAATGTCATATCTCTGCAATATGTATATCTATTTATCTCAAGTATACAATACAATAATATAAAACCTTGTCATTATATAACACAATATTTAATGACAAGGTTTCATATTATGGTTAATATGGTTATATATTACGTGCAAAGTATTGTTAAAACTTTAGTTTCATTGGTTAAAACTTTTGATACATTTGCGACTCAAATAACTCACTTAAATAATATTTATGTAGGTATTACATAACTTATTTATATTTAAATAAGTATTTTTAAATCATGTGCTTATTTGTAAATAAGGGCTGAACTTTATATTTTCGACTTTGTTACACTAGTAACTTAATACATAAATGAGTTTTTTTTTTAAACTAAATGGGAATATTATTATTTTCCAATAATATTTAAGTATTGCAGTAACATGTAAATAAGTTATACAAACAACTAAATTAAAGATAAAGCTTCGCAATTGTGACCATTATTTCAAAAGAAAAATATTTACAAATCTCATAGCCATAAATGTCAACAACTATAGTTAACTATTTTGATTTTGTGTCCGTAGAAGTTCTACAAGCAGATCAAACTTTACATCGGACTAAGATGAACGGCAAGGTTGACATCTAGTAACAGAATGACTCTCACCAAGAACAACTGAATCAGGCTCAGCAGGTGGACCTTCACTGTTATCATGTTGTCTCTGAAAATATAAAAATAAATTTCCTCAAAAATTGTTATTGACCATAAAAATATAATGAAAATATAATAAAAATTCATATGTGGTAGAGCCATGCTGCAGCAATATTAGTAGTATAGTTGTAGCACGAATGGGTAGGCTCGACCAGGAAAGGACCACGCTCTCACAGAATACCAGTGTAAAATAGCAGCTTAATACTGTTGTTTCGTATGGTGAGTGTAGAGAACCGGAGACCCTTTTTAATGAAAAAGAGGCATTTCATCTTACTCCTCACGGGTGACAATGCATCTGCATTTTGATTCGTTATTGAGGATAGATGTAGATGTCCATGGGTCACAGCAACCACCTACCATCAGGTGGACTGTGTGCACGTTTGTCACCCAATCCTATAAAAAAAAAAACAATTTCTAAAAATTACCCCATACTAGGAATTTCTCCTGTTATTGTGGCTGCATTATGCATACATTAGTTTATTAGGTTTCATAAAAATATCTTTTTAACCTACTTAATTATCTACATATAACAATGGTAAGTTATAATCTCATAATGTACCTAATTAATTATCTTTCATAATGAAGCTGTGGTTGCTCAGGTAATAATCACTTGTCTTAATATTGCATGTGAGGAAACCAAGATCAATCCCTGATGACGAATGAAATTCTTAATCGCAATTTCCAGGAAATATTGTAATTACAGACACGACTTTTATAAAGATTTAATATATAACAGGCCATGCAGTTTAGTGAATAAAATAAATAATAAAAAAAATCAAATCTCAACTGCATAAAAGACAATTTAAAAGTAATGCACTAAAAAGGTATAATTTTCAATTGGGTTCTGCCTGCTACTAAACTTTAAAGCTAGTATTTTACTTAGGCTTTCAGCTCATAATATAGTCTGTTAAACCAAAGTAAAGTTTAGATATTTTGTTTATAGTTTATTTAAATTTTTTCTATTCTCAATCTTGTTTTGTTCTTTTTAGTGCATTACTTTTACATTGTCTTTTTAACTGCCGGGTTTTTGATTTTTTTAATTATGAACAAGGTTTTAAACAATTCCCATATCTAGCCCAAGATTCCCTTGGTTTCAAAGCAACCTTATATGGAGTGGGTACACTATGTTGTAGTATATTAAAATAAATTTTAAATTTTAACCAAAATAGATATGTACCAAAACATGTTTACCTTTAACTCTGTAGCTAAACTACGGAATGTATCTTCAACATTAGTATTATCTTTAGCAGATGTTTCCATTACAAACATTATTTCAGGAATGTAACGACAGAAAGACTTTGGTTCATCAGGCTCCACTTCTCGTTGGTCTGTCAGATCACATTTGTTTCCAATTAATGAGACAATAACATTAGATGAAGTGTACCGCCTTACTTCTTCTATCCACTTTTGTAAAGATAAAAAAGTAGATCTTTTTGTTATGTCATAGACTGGAAACAAAATTTTCAATTTAACATTGACCAGCCTTAAAGATATAGATTAATAATAATACATGATATTATCATGTTGTAATTTATCATTACATTGAGATGTCTTAAGGTTCAACAAACATTAAATATAAAAAATATATGGACTTTAATTTTGTTATTTATTCTTTGGTGAAGTTGCCATGTGGTAGTGGTGTGATGACCCCATATCATTCTAGGTCTGTTGTAAGATGCAAATAGGAAGTACTAGAAAGATTGCATGGCCTCTGAAATAATATGGCACAGTAACTATATCCTAGCAACTTATATATCACAAAGCAACATCAATGGTACAAAACACCTGGTACTGTGACTGCTAATGGTACATGGTAATTCTTGTAAATTTTCCCCACTATGGGATATACAGTAGTAGTCCCTTATGGTTTGTTAAAGTTGTAAATTTTCAAACTGAAAGCTATATAAAGAATTTACATCCATGATTTTTGAGTGGACATAGGAAATTGCCAGATAAATCTTGGTTCTGGGTAGATAGTCACATGATAGTAACATCAAAGCTCTCCATTATCCTTGGTTCATAAGTCATGACTGAGTAGATAAGTTGTTAAATAACAACAAAATAATATCTAATAAGCAATTAGGAATATAATGGGAATATTAAATTGGTATTTTAAATTTTTATATGAGAGCTGTAGTAGCTTAGAGGCTAATCGCTTGATTATTGTAAATTTCATAGTAAGCATTTCAAGTTCAATCCTAGTCTGTACTACAGAAATTGTTAATTGCAATTTTAAGTGCTGAATTGATTACCACATGATTGTGGCAAAGGAAAACATGGTGAGGAAACCTGCATCTAAGTAAAAATATGTCAAAAATAATAAATATTTACCATCGCGCATAGCGACAAAACTTGCGATACCATCCATACCATCTGTATGATTGGCGGTCCACCACTGTGCGATTCAGAAGATGTTTTCTTCCTTGCACAACTTCCTTGTGGAATTGATTACCACCAGCAATTTTTCCGGACCGATATGACTTAGGGACCTTCAAGAAAGCCTACTCCTTTTTAAAAGGCCAGCAATGCATCTGCAATTCCCCTGGTGTTGCAGTAGCTCATAAGCGGCAGTAATCACCATCAGGTGAGTCACATGCTTATTTGCCCCCTCTCCTAAAAAAATCTAGGAAGTCTACCAAAACAAATGCAATTATAACTCAGCAGAAAAATTCCAAAGCAGAGTGGAGATTAACTGCTCCATTTACTACAGGCTTGATTGTATTTTATAAAGCCAATTATACCCTCAGATAATGTCTGTTATTTTAATCTTCACATTTAATTGCCATATTTATTATATTAAGCAATATTCATAAATTAAAAAAAATTTGTCAAATTACAAAATAAGAGATTGTGGGCTTGAATTAATAAAGGTCGGAACAGCAAGAAAATGTGTCCATACATGTTGATCCATTGTTTTAAAAAAAGGTGTCGCTAGTGACACGGTAAACATCGAGCTCGTGTTTAAAACAGTTAAAAAAATAGTTTTACAGTGATAATAGCCTAATTCGTGTAATAGTTGTGAATAGTTAGTGTTGATATAAACTATATACTGTTATTAGTGAAAAAATTTAAACCTAACAAAAGTAACAAACGATTAAAAGTGAAGTGTAAAAAAGTAGTGCAAAATAATAGAAAACACATTTATACATTCATTGGAGGGTGTACTAAGTTAATTCTTATTGAAGTAACAATTAAACATTTCAATTTATCAATTCATTAACTAAACAAATCTTATTGGAAAAACATCGAACATAAATATTATATAGAACCGTTAATTTAAATTTTGAAGATACAGTTATCACACAGATACAGATACATATCAATAACAGCGACATCTTTTGAAGGACAGAGAAAATTCTTTGTGCTTAGTATAATTAACATTTAACTACGTAAATTCACAGTATGACGTCTAAAATCAACGCGAAAACTACCAATAGCGGCCACAAGATGCCGGCAATAGTAACATGTTACAAATGCAAAAACATAGTTGACAAAAAACAAACTGCGTTATGTTCAATATGTAAAAACAGGTATGAATTAGAATGTGATGGATATCCGGAAAAAACATACCGCCTATTGGATCAGGCAGCAAAAAAGAAGTGGCGATGTAAAATGTGTATTAAAAATAAAAAAGACATCAACAGCGACATGCATAATATCACAACGAGAAAGAAACCTAATCTCACAAAACAATGTACTTCGCCTTCACCAGAAAAACCACCAGAAAAATTACAATGTTTTGAATCATCACAGTTATCGGACCAGAATACTTCTTACGTGCTGGATTCTCACATACTTACCGACTACAATATAACAGATGAGTCATTTACCACGCCTAGTAAACTGTCGAAAAGTGTAGACGGGACCGTTACTGACATAACATCAATCTCAGATATGAAAATAACGGTATCTCAGTTAACCTGTACACTTGAAAGTACTCAAAATGAATTAGAAAATTTGATATTAGAAAATAATGATCTGCACAGACAAATACATAAATTAACATCGGAAAATAAAATTTTAAAATCACTCTGCCATTCTCCTACAGCAATAGAAGGTAGTCCTGGAATTTTTAATAAAAATAAGAAGAAAAGAAACTCCTTATTAATTCCTAGCGTGTCCTCTGTACCATCTTCACCAACAATCAAGTCACACGTCAATTCTCATACTAACACAGTAATATTGTGCCTGCAACGAAAAATTAGCGACTTGCAAAAACAACTTAAGAAAGCAGAAAAAGAGATCACAGGTCTTACGGAAAAAATAAAGAATCTGACACAAAAAATGTACCTTAAAAACTCGATAAAAAAACTGAATAAGACCTCATATCCAATCACTGTACAACATAAACCCGACCCCGTAAAAAAAAATTCACATTATCGGTTCCCAACAATGCGTCGGCCTGGCTGCAGCTATATCACATTCAAGACACATGACTCAATACGAAAACTATAAAGTTACTGCTCAAACGAAGCCATATGCACCAAGCTACGAAATAATAAAAAACTGCCAAAACATGACACTAAAACCAGATGATAAACTCATTATTTGTATAGGAGAAAATGATTATAATATAAGGCTAGTTCTATCACAACTACAATTTATACTAGACACCTTTAGTAATAATACGATAATTGTGCTAAATGTTATTGAAAATATGTATATAAACGTTAACAAATTAAATTATCTTATGAGGAATATATGTAAGAAATATAAAAATTGTCATTTTTTGGATTGTAATAACTCAAATCGTTCGGAAATTTGTAAACTAATTAATTATGTTGTTGACTGTAATGATTACGCAAAAAAATACTTAAACCCTATCGAAATCAGTAAACATATACATACAAGTAATAAGTCAAGTTTTAAAATCTTAATCGAACCCAAAAAAGGTACAATCCCCTTTTACTTTAAAAAACAAACTGAAAAGTACACAAAACCAGTTGAAATTTTTAAAAGAGGAACTATACCATATTATTTTCCCGTATTAAAAAAGAATAATACATTTTTTCGACCGTAAAAACCAAATTACTACTGCACATAATTTTAAAATTTTACATCAAAATATTGCCAGTGCTTTGTTGAAACAAGATTTAATAGAAATCACTATACATGAGTTATGGGATAGAAGCAATAATCCGGATGTCATATGTCTTTCGGAAACTTTTATAAAAAAAGGTTATGAGAATCTTTTAAGAATAAGCGGTTATGTAATGGCAGCTAATTTCTGCAGAGAAAAGCAAAGAGGGGGAACTTGCATCTTAGTTAAAAAAGGATTGATTTTTAATGAACTGTCATTTATAAAAAAATATGCGTCCCAGAATACGTTTGAAGTTTGCGGCATAGAACTAACGTGTATTAAATTAATAACTGTTTGTCTCTACAGAACACCCCAATCAGATCCGACCCAATTTCTATCTAAACTAAATAATCTTTTACACGATTTAACTATGAAATACAAATCTAGAGTACGTTTAGTATTGGCTGGTGACTTTAACATAAACACATTAAAAAGAGGTTATATCACAAATGAACTTCAAGATTTATGCTATAATTACAATTTAAAAATACACATTGATGTACCTACCCGTAAGTCATCTTGCATCGATCATATTTTGAGTAATATTCCGGATGCAGCTGCAACAGTGTTACCACTTTATCTATCTGATCACGACACAGCACAATTGTTAAGCTTTCCTTTAAAACGTGATATACAAAAGCAAGCGATATACTATATTTACAAAAGAGATTACAACTTAGATAATATTAGGAAATTTAAAGAATGTCTACAAAAAATGTATTGGTCTGAAGCGTATACGGCAAATGATGCTAACGTCGCTTTCAGTAGCTTTCATGACTTATTTTGTCTTTTCTATAATCTTTGTTTTCCAAAAGTACGAATTAAAGTAGATATAAATAGTAATAAGAAACAAAATTGGATAAGTAAAGGAATTAAAATAAGTTCTAAAACCAAACGAATCTTAAGATATAAATACTATAGAAATACAAATGCTGTTAATAAAGCAAAATATATGACATATTCCAAATTATTAAGAAAATGTATTTATAATTCAAAAAAAAATTCCAACGTAAAATTTATTAATAACAATGACAACAAGTGTAAGGCCACGTGGAACATTATTAAAAAGGAAATAGGTAGCTTACATAGCAAAAACAACATAGAAAAAATTATAATTAATAACGCAGTTATCACGAACCCAATAGAAATAGCCTCTGCGTTTAACAATCACTACATTAATTCAACACACGAAACAACACACACAAAAAGAAAAAACTTACTAAGTAACAGTTATCATATTAACTCTATGTTTCTCAAACCTATGTCGAAAGACGAAGTTAAAAGAGAGACAATGTCATTAAAAAATACTAATTCTGCGGGCTATGACGACATAGGTACAAAAATTATAAAAATTTGTATCAACGAAATTATAGAAATCGTGACTCATTTAATAAATTTATCTTTTTCGTGTGGAACTTTTCCAGATGCACTTAAGTTATCCATTGTTAAACCACTGTTTAAAAAAGGAGAGAAATATATAGTCAACAATTATCGCCCAATAACGTTGATACCTATTATGTCCAAAATATATGAAAAGTGTATGTACAAAAGAATAATCGAATTCTGCAACAAATATAATATTATAATTAACGAACAATACGGATTTCAAAAAGACAAATCTACAACGTTGGCCATTTTTTCTCTCCTAAAAATAATACTGGAAAATTTAAACAATAATAATTTAACTACAGGGCTATTTTTTGACCTATCTAAAGCTTTTGACTTGGTGTCACACGACCTCCTGCTACAAAAACTCGAAAAGCTTGGGATTAGAGGACATACTCTTCAATGGATATCTTCATACCTTAGTAACAGACAGCAATGTGTTACGGTCATGAAAATAGATGAAAATAAGGATATCATACCGTATTCGTCTAAATATAGATTCAATAGGTATGGCGTTCCACAAGGAAGTGTGCTCGGTCCTATTTTATTTCTATTATATATAAATGACATTGTTAATGTAACAAATCATAAATGCATATTATTCGCGGATGACATTTCAATAATTGTGACCTCTAATAAAAAATGTAATACTATTAAAGACCACGAGACTGACATAAATAATACTATAGATAATTTAATTGATTGGCTTGACATAAACAATTTGAAAATAAATCTTGACAAATCTGTATATATACAATTCAATAAATGTAATAACAAGAAATATAATTTTAATCTTAACATACCAAAAATAAAAGCAGTAACAAATAAAACATTTTTAGGAATAACTATAGACGAAAATTTAAACTGGAAATTGCATGTAAACGATGTATCTACGAGATTAAATAAGTTTGCATACGCCCTTAAACATTTAAAAAACGTTACAAACATAAAAACGGCTGTTCTGTCCTACCATGCATACGTAGAGTCAATACTGCGCTATGGACTTATAATCTGGGGTAAAAGCACGGATCAAAATAGAGCATTTAGTGCACAAAAAAAATGCATCAGAGCAATATGTGGGCTTAAACCAACTGATTCATGTCAACAGATGTTTAAAAAACTTGACTTATTACCCTTCCCGTGTCTTTATATTTATGAAATATGCATGTTCGTATGGAAGCATAAATATTTATTTAACACGGCAAATGATGCAAATCCTCGAAACCGACGAAATCCATACAAGCTCATTTTAAGTAACACACCTAGAATAAGTAAATATAATAAAAGTTGTCTATCTATGTGTGTACGTATTTATAACAAGTTACCAAATGATCTAAAAATATTAAATACTAAATTATTTAAATCTAAATTACAAGAATACCTAACTAAGAATAATTTCTACAGCATTATAGACTTTTTTAATCATAACCCTTAATGTACAAAACAAAACTTTTGCATGCTATATGTAACTGTAGCAAAACATGTTGCTCAATTGTATATTATTTGTAAAACCTTTTCATACCATGTTTAAGCAAATAAATATATTATTATTATTATTATTAAATATATTATTATTAAAAAGGAGATTGGGATATATATTAAAAGTAATAGAATTCCTAATTCTGACTTAATTTCCTAAAAGTTTAAATACTAAAAGTATTTTTTAGTATTTAAAGTTAAACTTTTTAAGTAACCTTACCAATTATTCCTTTTTTTTTTCAATTTTATATTATTTGATCAAAAATCCACTGCGGAACATAGTACTCCCTGTAGTTTGCCTTACAGGGAGGACATTTGCAATAGTTGCGATGCTTGGCAGGTGTATTGAAAACTGCAATTTTTTAATTTACATTGACATGATATCAGTAAGGTGCTGTTGCCCATCTTTCATTACAGTTGCTCTCTATCACCTCTTACAACTTCCTAGATATGATAATTTTACTGTACATGTTATAAAATCTATTTCTTAATAGTTATTTAAGTATATAAAATTACAAGAAATTAACGACGCCTCACCTCAAGTCAATGTAAAAATGAAATTATGTTGTTTTAAGACTTAAAGAGACAATGTAATGTAAAATGTAAATGTCTACAATGTGACATACCTATAATTACTCCGTTTGCTGAGCGATAATAACTTTGCGTGATTGTTCTAAATCGCTCCTGTCCAGCAGTATCCCATATCTGAAGCTGGTTAAAAAGACATAAATTATAAAGTAATTAAATTTGCACATTAATAGTTAGATAACATACATACCTTGACCTTTTTGCCATCAACAATCAATGTTTTCATCGAAAAGTCTACGCCTATTGTATTTCCGTGCCTTTCTATAAAATTCCCAGATTTCAGTCGTTGCACAATACATGTTTTTCCTGTACCGCAATCACCAATAAGTACAATTTTAAATAAGTAGTCAAACTGTTCATCGGGAACGCTCATCAAAGTATTAGGGTTCCGGTTACTCATAATTCCAATTTCATTAGCATTAAATTTTTATCCGAATTTACTGTCTGTTTACGTTTATTTGTGGTTGCCTGTCCTGTCAGTGTGTCAGTGTCAGACGAGATGTTGTTTTTATTATTATTCGCTCGAGAGAGCAGGCAAAAGAACTACGCCATACAGCCTTGTCTTTATGTATAAATCCTTCATAGTTCACTGCTTCACAATATGTTGATGCGTCACATTGTGCAGCCCTTGGGAGATTTTGACGGCAACTTGAGCCAGCAGGCAGCTGACAGTTGGCGATGGTATCTAAAGACGCCTATGCAAACAAACAGCTTATCTTGAGAATCCATCACCATCAGAGCACTTGTTTCACCGTTTCCACTAATAGTTCACATGTATAGACAGTTAATACATAAAATCGCACCACCTTTACATATCAAAATCCACTTCAAACTATTATTTAAACTATAATACAGGAGCAGCAATCCGCCGCCGATCAAGTTCCCGCCAAAACTCTGTCAGACGAGATCAGTCAGTCAGATCATTTTTTTATAAAGATTTTTGGCTGGGATGCTTGTTCTTTAAACCATGTCTTCATTTAGCTCAGTATCAAGTCATAATAATCCATTAATCCAGTACACTGTTTCACAATATGTTGATGCGTCATATTGCGTAGTTTTTGGGATATTTTGACGTCAACTTGAGCCAACAGACAGTTGGCGATAGTATCCCAAAAATTCACATCACTATAGGAGCACTTGTTTCACTGTTGACATTACAATCATTTGAAAATCCACTTCAAACCATTATTTAAACAACAATACAGGAAGAACAATTCATCGCCGGTCAAGTTCCCGCCAAAACTTCGTCAGTCAGATCATCAGGCATTCTGCCAGATATTGGGAGTATTTTTAACCGGTTCATAAAAGAAACAGTTAAAAAGAGAACCGACTATTCACTGGTTATTTAAAAAATACCAGTACTTTACTGCGATTTGTGGCAAGGCCGTCGAAAAAAGAAAGAGCAGTCCCTGCTCAAAGAGTACCTACTCAATAATTGCGCCAAATACTATGGCCATCAATATTCTATAAATAGATTCAAAAATTGGTTACAAAAATGACTATGAAATGAATGAATAACGAAAGAAACATCTTATGTACTTTTTGTGATGTAAATAAACATCTTATTCCTTTCTAAGCATTTAAAAATTTATGCTACCTTGCCTCTTTAGTACCACAGAGGGCCTAATATGACATATAATATTTTTTATAGAAGAAGAGGCATGAGAGCATGCCTCTTCTTCCTGCCTTTTAAAAAGGAGTAGGTTCTTTTCTCCAAATTCTACAATGTGTTCTTGTGTGGAAGAAATTATCTAGATATGATTAGAATTAAGAGTGCTGTCGCAGTGTACAGTAATATAATTTAGCAGTACATATTTATAAATTTCATTAACATTATGTTAAAAAAGAAATTCCGAGGAAACTGTCCATGGCAGTAAATATTTTTCTCCAAAGGTCATAGCTCGAAAATATAACTTTCCGATCTTCTCCGATCGAGATTCTTGTCTTGTCAAAGTCTGTACGCCTGTATATTCAAGTCTATGGAAAAGCCTAGCCCGTTTAGTGAGATTGCCAAAAATCCATAGACGGCCGCCAGCGGACCGGAAGAGAGTAATCAAAGGCGGGCGTTCCCCCTCTGTCAAAGTACAAGTTAACGCGATGTTATGCGTACAATAAAACTAGTTGCAGCCGCACTATTCACTTGACTAAATGTACTTGCGCAGCTGAATCGATGTCCTACAAAAATGCTAAAATAGGGAATTATGCACCATATAAATAAAACGTAGTATTTATAATAGTTTCTGTAACAAGTAATCGAGAAATGTTGATCAAAATGCATTGTAAATTATATAATTCAGTTTTCAGAATATGTTCTTAATCCGCGCCTCAAATTTCCAAAACATTATCCACCATTATAGATTTTATCGTGACGTCACTTCGATAGTAAACAAGCTGATATACTGTGTGATGTTTCAACATTTTTCAAGTTACATCACTATTGTTGGAGTTATATTTCTTTTGGGGCGTTTGGGAAAAATTATGAGAGTGAAGTTTTTATGACGCGCGTGCACACCGACAGCTAAAAACGACACCATGAAGTTGTTACGATGCCCGCACACAGTGACACCTCAAAGCGACAACTTCATTGGGTAACTGTCTCTAAAGTTTTCATGGGAACTGATAACTGTATGTAAGATAGTTATTTTTAATTATTTTTGTTTTTTAACGGTAAAGAAGTATAACTTTCTACGTGCGTACATAAGTAGACACCCACGTTATTTATACAATAACAACACCAGGTTCTAAGTGTCTTTTGATAATGTTGCGCGCCACTATTAATGTCTTGTACATGGCAACACTAGTTACACTAGTGCCATCTAGTGTCGAGTAAATGAAAGTATTGCGCGCCACTATTAGTGTCTTGTACATGGCAACACTAGTTACACTAGCGCCCTCTAGTGTCGAGTAGCAGAACTAGGAGAATCAAGATCCTTCCAGAAATTTCGGGACCGATATGTACTCGAACATTCTAGATGTCGCTACAGTAGAAGATTCTGGAAACTATCTGAGGCCTTATATAAGGCCGGTATAGACCACGACCGAGGCAGTATTGAATAGGCGATACAAGAGAATACTTCGAAGCGAAATAACGGCGAACTGTGTTTTATTATTAGTGGATTTTAGATTGTAATTAGTGTTGCGTAATTAAAGTGTCAATTCTGGTAATTCAATCGGCAGTTTTTAATTGTCTCGAACCCCAAGCTCGTAACAATTGGTGTCAGAAGTGGGATCAAATCATGCCGATTTTACCAAAGGACGACATGGAGGGTATCCGTACCCGAAGTCAACGCCAGCTGGAGACGGACCAGAGACGATTTGGTAATGCATCGACGCAAACGTCGGAGGGCCAGCTGCTGACCGAGGAGGCCGGGCCGTCAGCAGCTCCTGCATCTGCAGCACCTGACTTAGGTGCTCTGATGATGATGCTGCAGGAGCAAGCCCGCCGACAGGAGGAACAGGCCCGTCGGTTGGAAGAGCAGCCGCAGCGTGGACAGGAGGAACAGGGCCGCCGGTTGGAAGAGCAGCTCAAACGTGATAAGGAAGAGCAGATACTTCTCATGAAGGACCTTCACGCTACCTTTGGGAAAGAGATAAGGGAGGTGAAGGATAAGGTTGCACGATATGACAACCGCCTGTCCGAAGCTGAAACTCGAATCGACCAAGTGTACAATCGGGTTGACAACGTGATGGCTAACGTTAAGAAAACGCTGGATAACCTCAAACTTGGGGAAGGAGTTACAGTTCCCGTGGTAGCTACAACACCTTCGCTACGTGGATTCAAAGTGCCGCCGTTCGACGGGAGTTCTTCCTGGTCGGCCTACAAAATCCAGTTCGAGGCTGTCATGAAAGCGAACGGCTGGAATAAAAGTCAGGCCATGACTGCTCTCAGCCTAGGCCTGCGCGACCAGGCATTAACTGTTCTGGAAGCTCTCGGTAAGGAAGTGACTTACGAGCAGCTCCTTGAGGCATTGGAGGCGAGATATGGCGACGCTCACCTGGAACACGTCTTTCGTGCGCAGCTCAAAGATCGCGTGTTCGCGTGCAACGCAGTAACGAAAACCTGCAGCAGTGGGCCCTTGAGGTGGAGAAGCTGGTTCGAAAAGCGTACCAGTCTGTACCTGCGCTTATTGTAGGGAACCTGGTGCAGACATTCATCGACGGCATCCGCGACCTTGAAGTCAGAGCTGCTGTGAGGCTCGGGCACCACGAGACGCTTAAGGACGCCTTGACCCATGCACTGGAGGTGGAAGTCGTGCGGCAGGATCATCGTTCCCACCGCGTCAGGCAGGTTGCAGCAGCTACAGTTCAGGACCGCAATAAGGGCTACAGCCCTAGGTGCTACGGCTGTGGGGAAAGGGGCCATCTTCGATCCAGCTGCCCTAAACGAACTGTAGAAAGGGAAGGTGATCGATCTCGAGAGGGTAGTGCGGATAATAGCACCGCCCAGCAGCAGCAGGGAAACGAGTAAAAGCCAGAACTGCGGGGCGGGTGCTGGCTGATATTAAAAGAGCCCCAAGGATTTCGATCTCACAAACCCATGATGGGAACAGCCTAATCATCAAGGGCGAAGTCAACGGAACGCCGTGTAAACTGACCATAGACACTGGAGCCTCTCGCACGGTTGTCAGTTCCCAACTTATAAGTCGGTTTCTTGGGGACTCCGCATACAACCGAGAACGCATTAATTTGGTGACAGCCACCGGTCAGCGCATACCCGTCCGTGGAGAGAAGGAGATGGAGTTGAAGCTAGGCAACATGATCTACCTGCATAATGTCATCGTGGCTGATATAATGGACGACTGCATCCTGGGCCTAGACTTTATGAGGAAGAATTGCTGTGAGATCGACGTTAAGCAAGGTGTTTTGAAATGTGGACAAGAGGAAGTTTTCATGGAAGGGGCGTTACCAGGGAATGTGTACAGCCTTAAGAAGATTGTTCTTCCGCCGAGATCGGAAACGATTGTGCCGGTTAGTCTTCCTCGGAGTCCTGGGCAAGCTCATCGTTGTGTACTCGTGGAAGGGGTAGACAATGACCTTCCATGGAAAGTGGCTCGAACCTTGGTCAGAACCACCGACATGTCAGGAGTACGTGTGTTGAACCTTTGTGAACAGATTATAGAAAAAGGCACATTGGTTGGTACTAGTGAGGAAGTGGATTGGTTGCGTCGGTGCGAACATCTATCGACCGGGACCCCTAGCAAGGATGGACAAACGAGAGTGACCACACTTTTAGAAGACTGTCGCAGCGTTCTCTCCCCGAATGAAATGGTTAAGGCGAAGAAGTTGTTACTCAAGTACGCCAATGTTTTCTCGTCAAACGAAGCTGACATAGGAAAGACTGGCTTAGTTCAACACAAAATAAACACAGGACAAGAATTGCCTATTCGTCAGCGGCCAAGA